TTGACTTGGTGTTGTCAGCACCACGCTCAGCCAGTGAGCGAACCGGCCATCCCTATGTGGGATCCGAACCTGGGGCCTTGGTGTTATCAGCACCGCACTCTCCCGAGTGAGCCACAGGCCGGCCCCCAAACTTGACTTTTAAAATGCAGATTGTGCCATAGGCAGTTTAGGGACAAAAGCAATGCAATACAAAGAACTCTGGAATGAGACTGAAAAGGGTTCAAATTCTACCTGTTGCATGACCTTGGGCGAGTTTCTGAATACTGAATGGCTCACCAGAGCCAGGTGCAGGCACCTGAACTGTAGCAGGTGGTTTTCATGCACTCAGTCCTCACAACCTTACTGTGACCCTAGGTATTAATTCCATTCCATAGATGAGGAAATCGAGAAGAACTGAAGTAACTTCCTCATGGTCAGACAGACATTAAATGTCAGAGCTGGAATTCAAACTCGGGTCTGTCCAACTGCTAAGTTGGTGTTCCCTAGGTTCTCACTTGATTCTCACATGTGAAAAATGGGAACACCATCCCTTTCTCACAAAGTTGTTGGGAAGATTGGGAGATTAAATTTGAAAACATTTTGTAACATTCATATGAAATTAATGCTATCTGGAAAACAAATAGAAACGTTTTACCCCCATTTTTATGGCTGAGGAAGCATGAGCCACAGTGAAATTAATCAATCCCCCTAGGGATAACAAGTGGCTAAGTTTGGACCAGAATCCAAGTTTTGTACTCCGAGGCTGATTCACTTTCTCTTCCATGCTCTCAAATGACTCTGGAAGAAAGAGGAAGTGTATAGGAATATCAAAAAAAAAAAAGAAAAAGAAAAAGAAAACACAGCAAGGTGAAATGCCAAGGCCTCAGGGTCAAGCAGACCCTGGTTGGAATTCTGGCTCCACCACTAGCCTAGCCTCAGCAATGCCACTTCGCCTCTGAGTCTCAATTCTGTTGCAGGATTTCTGTAGATTCAGAGAAATGGCCTCAAAGTACTCAGCCCAGGGCCAGGCTGAGTCAGAAAAATAACATGGTCATTGTTATTCCACAATGTCAGGCCAGCCACAGAGGCATGGCAGGGCTAATACCCAAGGGACAGAAGTAGACTTTCAATGCCAAGAGCCTCAACCATTCAATCAATGGGCACAAGTACCTGGCAGGGCAGGGGCTATATTAGGTCAGGCAGATGATGCAATCACAGCTCCCTGCTTGGGCTATGAGGTGGACCATGACCTTCAGGAAATAGAAAAACAGCCCATTAACAAGGAGTACAAAACAAAACCTTGGTGAACTTTTATTTCTCATCATACAGAACTGGTAGCAAAGCCAAAGATTGCTGCACTTCAACACTGGATATCCCTCCCCACCCACCCAGTGGACATTTACAGCGTCATCATGTCCCTCTAGAACCCAAAGCCCCATGCTGGGGCCCTTTCCCCTCCTGCCCACCTTCTTTGTGGGGAGGGCTTTCAGTTGCTTCCCCGTGCCTGCACGGGTATGAAATGTGGCACACTGGCCAGGCTCCTCTCCTGCCCCGCCCCAGACAGGAGGGTCAGAAGCAGCAGCAGCAGTGTAGCCCTTGCCTCTCTTCAGTCACCTCCAAACTGGTCAGAGAGGAGGCACATATGCTAGAAGGGCAAGGGAAGTCATAATTCACAGTTGCTTGCTAAAACAAAGTGCCTGGGATCAGTCCTTGGCTGCTTCTGCCTCTAAGCAATCTACCGAAAATCCAGGAGAGGGGACAGATGAGACACTGGGATGGGGGGAGGGGGGTCCTTGGAAGGCACCTAGGAGAGAATAGACTACAGAAGTGTGTGGCGGGGGAGGGGTGGGGAGTCCCCAGAGGCCTTCAAGATCTTGCAAGAAAATCGGTTTGCTGTTGGCAGGTTGGCCTGAGAATCCCAGGGGGAGGCAAATCAGACATCATGGAAACTCAGACCCACACCTCAGTCTCCAACTGTGGCAGTAAAGAGGTTGGGCTATGTAGGACATGGTCACCTCGCTAGTAGCAGGGCTCAAATAAGAACTCTGGTGTCTCCTGCCTCTCCTACTGGGCACTGTGCCACCTAGAAAGGCTCAACTTTTAGGCAAATGTCTGCAGCAGAACTTCTGGAGACAGAATTGGGTGTTGGCCGCTGTGTGGCAGGCACAGCGCTCTGGAAAACAAGTCTCCCTTTTGTCCTCCTCCTCCTCTCAGGCATTGACCGTGGATCCAGGTATGAGGCCCTGTAGAGATCTGAACCTCATGAAGGACCAAAATAAAGAGAATTTATAATCTTAATACTCCCTCCTCTTCAGAAGGCAAAGTGATCAAAAGAGGCTCAAACTCTCTAGAGATAATCTGCTTTTTTGATGTGCTGGCCTCCTGGGCCCTCATACCACCAGGCATGGGAGAAAAGGGTAAGATGGCAAAAGAAGTCAAAAGAACTGAACTAGGATCCAGGCAACCAGGGAACAAAGGGCCTTCAGGCTGCCCAGCAGAACAGGCTTTTGGGGAACTGGACACACAGACCAGCTGTGACCTTAACTTTCACATTGATGGGTGAATGGCAGGTGGGAGGTAATGAAATCTGGGAGGGAAGGCAAGGCTGCCTGGAGTGCCAGTCCCTGGAGGTGTGTGCCCCTCTCCCTTGGGGGCCAGCCAGGGACTTCTCAGTCCAGGAAGGTCATAGCACTAGTGGTGCTAGAGCCCAGCTTGCTGGCACATAAGACCAAGCCTGGCCCATTTTCCTTCCTGTGCCCACTGCCTCTGGGGGCAGGGGAAGGAGGAGGGGTGTGGCCCCCTGGGATCTCCTGGTCCTCTTCCAGCTCCCAGGGGCAGAGTCAGTGCAATGATCCTGTCCATTCCAGTGAGAAAAAGGAGAATGTGGCTTGGGGGCTGTACAGCACACATAAGCCCTCCCCCAGAGTGGGGGGTGTGGGCGTAGGATAGAAAAGGGTCTGGGTCTGTCTCCAGACAGAGAAGTTCTTGCAGGGAGCAGGATGCCCCTGGGTCAGCTGCTCCAGGCCCAGATCCTAGGTGGGATGGAGTCAGGTCATATAGCGGGTGATGGCGCGGAGGGCGTAGAGCAGAGCGGCTTGCATGCGGGCCTCCAGGAGCAGCAAGTTCACGTGGACCTGGGGCACAGATAAAGTCACGCTGGCAACTGACATCACTCCTCACTATCCCCACTCCTCCCAAACTGCTCCAGTCCCTGACTACCCACCTCACCATTCCCTTTCCTACAGAGATACCCTGACCTTGCTAAGGCTTGGTGCACTGACTGCCAAAGAATTTCAAGCACATTCATCTCCATCATAACAAATCTCTTTATCCCCCAAAGCTAACAAGAGCTACCACTAACTGAGCACCTATTTGGAATCAGAAATTTACATACATTTCTCATTTTATCCTCTCAACAACCTAGAAATGCAGGCAGTATTTATTCCCATGATAAAGATAAAAAACTCAGGGAGGCAAAATGGCTTTCCCAAAGTCACACTGCTACTGAGTATTAGTGTTATGATTATAACCCAGGTCTGCTAGCCTGCACTGAGGACACCGTGTGAGGCAGCCACCCATATTCCCATTCACAGGTGAGTAAATGGAATCTAAAATCATACAGTGGAGTGGCCTACTGTCATAGGTTCAAGTGGAAGACTTGAACAATAGACCTAGGTGTTTCACCTGGCAGGACAGACACAGTCTGAGGTCCCTCATTGGGTCCTGACCCCTTACCCCCTCCACTAGCTGGGCTTCTCTACTACCATCCTGCTCCTCCCCTCGTACCTTCTCCGAGTGGCGGAAGTGCCTCCAGAAGAGGTTGTACATTCTTCGAGTGGTCTTCTCTGGGTAGCAGGCCACTGTCTTGATATAGACTTTGAGGTTCCGCTCCAGGAGCTGGTTCACCTCTCCATAATCATAGTCATCATATCTGGTTGGAAAAGCCCCAACAGCATTACTCATCCTCTGCTCCCATAGAGGGAGGAACAGAGAATGGCATGAAAAGTCAGAAGGCAGGAAGCAACAAGAAGCCTGGTTCCTCTTAGAAAAACAGCTGATATTGTACATCACAGGCCACCAGACTCACAGGGGACCATGGCAAGGAATGCACAGAGGAGTGTATTGTCCGGAGCATCAACTATGTACCATGTGGAAATGTACTCATGGAATCCTCAAAACTAGTGTATATTACTGTATATGCAAGTACTGCATACAATATACTGTATTCATCAACCCCATTTCATAGATTAGGACACTGAGATTTAGAGAAGTCATTTGCTCTAGGTCATGCAGCAGGGAATGGGATTCAAACAGAGCTCTGCCTGGCTCCAAGGTCATATTCATTACTCTACAGCAAAGGCCATGGAAGGTGGGGCAGGAGGTCAGTGCATATTTACCCTGGAGAAGGAAGAAGCTAAGAGTAAAAAGGAGCTGGTACTCATTTTATAGAAGAGCAAACTAAGGCCAGGAGAAGGCAATTAACTTGTTCAAAGTCAAAAAGCAAGCTGGTGGTGACAAGCCTAGACAAGTCTGGAAGCCACTTTGTCACTCCCCAGTCCAGTGAGCTAGGGCAGCTAACATCATCACAGATCAGTGTGGGTGGGAAAGACTGAAAATTGGACAGATTTGGTAGACAAAGATACATGAGCAAGGATCGCACTGAAGAGAGGAGAAGCCTAGACCTGAGGGTTGGGCAAGAACTAGCCCATACCACATTCTAAGATGCCTGTTCTTGGCCACACCTGTATTGGAAACCTGCCAATGACCAGCAAGAGGATGGCCAATAAGTTGCTTTTTTTTTTGTGGATGGCCAGTATGGGGATCTGAACCTTTGACCTTGGTGTTACCAACACCATGCTTTAACTAACTTAGCTAACCGGTCGGCCAGAGAATAGCCAATGAAGTGCAGCTCAACCCACTCAGTGAAGTCTGACTTACAGCTAGTAACATACAGAAACACAAATTTTCTAGAAGTAACATGTATCTTTTTAAAAATTGGGGGGAAAATTTTCAATGCTTAGTATAAATTATTAAATGAGAAAAGCGAGAAAAAAACCGTGCTTACTAAAATATGCTCATGCTTGAGTAAATGAATAAAGTAAGTGAAATGAGTAGGCAAGAAAATGGCAACATATCTTATTTTTCTAAAATTATACGTGCTCTGGTTATTTGCACAAAGAAAAAAGAGAGGAAGAAAATACCTGACAATAAGAAGAGCAGACAATATCATAGATGATTTTTATTTTCTTCTTTTGGTTATAAATGTTCTCTAAATTTTCTAAAAATCAGGCTGTTTGTTTCTCTTTACAACATCAAACTTTTTTTTTAAATGAAATAACCATAATTTCAACTATTCAAAAGCGACTACATAAGAAAGAAAAAAGCAATAGAAAAAAACATTGCAGGATGTGAATGTGCTTGCACCGAAGAAGTAGAATTTTGGAAAATTGTTTTTTCCTTAATTCTCTGAATTTTCCACAATGTTATGAGTATGAGTTTCATTTTTAAAAAATTTTTTTTGTGGCTGGCCTGTAGGGGGATCCAAACTGGTGTTCTTAGTGTTATAAGGCTGCAACTAACCAGCTGAGCTAACCAGCCAGTCATGATTTTTTTTTAATAAAAAAAAAATTATTCTTGTATAACCTCTTTCTTTTTTTTTTTCCCGGTGGCTAGCCAGTGTTCTTGTATATCCCTGACAAGTAATTTCACATCTAGGATTTATCTACAAGGACTTATACGTAAGACTAGTCAGTGCACATGGTATTTGTAATAGTGAAAAACTCCAAACAACCTAAATATCCAACAATAGGGAAATGACTGGATAATTATAATACATCTGTGACAGAATGCCATGCAGTGGTTAAAAAGCATTTAAAAAAAAATGTATTCATACTGATAAGAAAGGTGGTTCACACTAGATTATTAGGTAAAAAAAGCAAGTTGCAGAATATTTTGATTATGATCCCATCAATTAAAAAGAACCTACTAAAAAAAGCAGAAAAGATTTAACAAGCAACAAGATGAAAATGTAATTCATTATATTATACTATACAGAGACAACCATTACTAAATAACATTTTAGTGTGCAGCCTTTGACGCATTTTCCATGCATGCACAAGCATTTAGCAAAAAAGGAACAAAAAGATGATTCTGGTTGGTAACCACCTTTCTTTTCTCCCAGTACATTTTGAGTATTTTCCCACAGGAACATAAATAAACTTCTATTGTAATTTGTCATAGCTGCCTAATATTTCACTGAATGAATATATCATTATTTAAAGTCTCCTATGGCATTTATGTTGTTTTTACTAATTATGAGAGAAGAACTGCTAGTTGGAATGGAAATACAAACATAACTATATGTATACAACATAACCATACATATACTTACAAACTTACAAACATAACTGTATATATATACACGCACACACACATATATAAACTACCATAGTTATCTCTGAAGGTGGCATTAAGGAGTTTCATTTACAAGGTTCAAATAATGAGCACTTCCCCTACCTCTTAAAATCAGCAAAGAAATACACTTGCTCTGAAAAATGCTACAGGAAAGAAGAAAAGAAAAGAAAAATGAGGGCTGGCCAGTTAGCTCAGTTGGTTAGAGCTAGGTGTTATAACACCAAGGTTAAGAGTTCAGATCCCCATAATGTCCAGCAGCCAAAACAAAAGAAAAAGAAAAAGAAAAAACGAAACAACTGTGAATTCAGAGTGAAGACTTGTAGTGCACACATGCCCTGAATGAGGGGACATGTGCTCACCTGATGCCAAATACGCAGTGGATGTAGTTCCAGATGGCCCTGCGGAGCATGGAGGTGTCCACACCGCTGTGCATGGCGATGGTGTTGTAGGTAAGGCTATAGGCTACTTGGAACTTCTCATCCAGCAGCTGTCCACCCTCAGGGTAGAGCCGCTGGATCAGCGAGTAGCCATGGTCTTCCCAGGTATAATCCTGAGGAACACAGGATGGGGTCGGTGAGTGGAGTCCAAGGCCAGCCAGAGAGACCCCATCCTCTGGATCTCTGGAGCACACCTTGCTCTCCAGAATGCTTTCTCTCAACACCACAAATCTAACATGCTGCTTGCTGTGGGCCTGAGAAGCCAGGGAGGATGCATCTTGGTCATGACCTTCTCCCCATGATCAGCTTAAGCCTGAGCTTAAGGCACAGATGGGTCTCTTTAAGATCCACAGGGAGCCCACTGCCCTCATGGAATCTTAAGGGAGAGAAGGTACTCAACTCTGTAAACACTCAAACCATCTACCTATTGCTTGTTCATAAATCTGGAACAATGGCCAAGACTAGTGGGCGAGCCCTACCTGGGCGCGGAAGGTGGGGGGCGCCTGAGCTCCTCGCCGGGTGAAGTCCTCATATCCAAAAGTGGGGTCTTCCACAAAGCACAGCATGTCTGGGTGTGGAGAGGGCTCCAGGATGTCAGCTGAGGACCATGTCAGAAAGAGATCACAGTGAGGCGAGGCATGGAGCATACAGAGCTCCACTCCTGATCAATCATCAAAAGGGGCTGGGGAAGGCAGAGTAGAAGGCCAAAGAAAGCCCCTTGCTACAGTGAGTGGAGCAGGACTTCAGCTGGAGCTGGGCCTGAGGGAGCAGGTGAACCAGGCCCGTAGACTCAGGAGGCGAGGCCCCAGTCACAATAATCTGGCAGTTATTCATGGAACTTGCTCACCCTGAGCCAGGTTCTGTACTAAGATCTTTGCTTCCACTGTCCCGTTTACCCTCCACACCAATACTGAAGCCCTGAGGCAGGAAGAGACTTGTCAGTGGTCACACAGCCAGCAAAGCCAATAGGCCAGGATTCAAAACCAGGTCTGACCCTAAAGACCATGCTGAGAACCTCCTGGAAGGGAGGTGGAGGGGGTAGCTGCTTATGGAACACAGGAGGTGCAATACATGGAGGGGTCTACTCCCCACCAGAGAGGGCATAAGAAGGGGCTGCCCCTGTCTGTACCTGAAGGGGTCACCAGCAGGCTCTCTGACTTCTCCAACTCAAAGCGGCTCTCCATTTCCTCCTGGGACGCTGCCTCATGCCGCAGCAGGCTCTCCTGCAGCTGCCTCATGCGTTCCATCAGGGTCTCCACGTCGTGGGCGGCCTCAAAGCCCTGGAGGAGGGGCCTGGTGGTGACCACCTGCTCCTCCTCTCTCGGCCATCCCCACCTCCCCACATGCCAGGCCTTCCTGAATGATCGTAAAGGCCTAGCGCATCCTCTGTGCCAGCCACGGTGCTGGGCAGCTCACGTGGTTTGTGCTTCCCAAAGTAAAGTTTACAAAGCTACAGAATAGACACATGTCTTCTGTGAGCATCAACTTTCCTCACAGGTAAGAAGTTAAGGTATCTGTATTTTTATATTAAAACAAACAAGACCACAGAATGAAGGAAGAGGCAAACTTTGTATTAAGGCACTAAAAATGAGCAGACTTTGAGCCTATGGCGCTACACTCTGAAAAGCCAGTCACGTGGTATTTCCTTTAAACCTCACAACCCACTGTGTGTAGGGGTCTTTATCCCCCTTTCACAAATGAAGAAACTAAGCTTCAAGTCAAGTAACTTTTCTATGGCTCCTCAGAGTGAGGAGATAAGGAAGTAGCAGCTTCCACCCAAGGACCAGAGGCTATGCCAGCCTCTTCCTCCACCAAGACCCAGGCCCGTGACTTACCCCAGAGTTGTTCAATGGGTCCCTGCTGGGGGGGCTGCTTTGTTCACTGGGAGGTGAAGGTGCCTGGGGGGCAGGGCTGCCTTCCACGTCCCCTTCAGGGAGGATGCCACAGCCAAACACGAAGGAGGCCAGTGAGTGGCAGTGGGTGAGCAGGACCAGGGCCTGGATGAGTTCAGCCAGGGACCAGCTATGTTCACCTGTCTTCAGCAAGGCCTGGATGGAGAGAGGGCCAGACCTGCTCAGTGCCTGCCCCTGGGCTGCTCACCACATCCCACCAGGCCCCTGTGCTCCCTCGGTACCCCGCCACTCCGTCCCACTGCACCTGGATGTGCTCCTTGGTGATGAGCCACGGCCGATGTGCCAGCAACTTGTTGATCTCGCTGAGTTTGCGCAGCTTCTCAGGGGCTCGGTGGAGGCCCAGCAGCCACTCAGGGTCACCGCCAGACTGCAGAAACTCAGCCATGTGGGAGCCCACCAGGTAAGAACACTGGTGGCGGGCAGCAGCCTGTAGAGGTAGTAGACAGAGCCTGGGTCTCCCTCCTTCTTCATACCACACTTGGGGTGGGTACCCCATGGAGAAAGATATCATATAGCCCCACTGTTGCCTAAGAGGCAGGAAACCTAGGTTTTTGTTTTTTTTTTTTGTCCTTTTTGAGACCGGCCGCACCACGCTCAGCCAGTGAGCACTGTGAGCGCACCGGTCATCTTTATATAGGATCCGAACCCGCGGCGGGAGCGCTGCTGTGCTCCCAGCGCCGCACTCTCCTGAGTGCGCCGCAGGCTCGGCCCTGGAAACCTAGGTTTTAACCCCAGCTCAGCCACCAGCTGGCAGGACACCTG